AAAGTCTTATGCAGAAGAATTCTAAATAATCTATGTAGATAGGTAACTTTGTCCCCAAAGAGGTAGAACCTCCAGCAATTGAGAGTGGGCTACACAAAGTGACATCTTTGCGAAGAATACAGCACAGAAAGGAGGAAAATGTATAATTTCATTATTGTTATTTGTAATATTATTATTAATTATGTTAAAAATAATAAAAGCTAAATGTGCTGAAGTAATACCATGTAAATTATAAAAAAATAAGAGTCTTAAATTGTCCACATTTTCAAGACTACAGGAACCCTCTTTCATCAAATAAAAGAACAATTAAAAATGATACAAAACCTACTCTTTCTTTTTGGTGTTCCTGTTCGTCACGGGCTTTAGGATTTCGAATTCACATAAAAACAAACAACAAAAAGTGATAACACGCAAAGGTGACAGCAGTGCTGGCCCCAGCCTTCCTGTCGTACACTCTGGGACATTTGCTATCTTCTTGACGGCTGTCGTGGATATCGCCCCTTCGTACACTCCATGGCTTTGCTTTGTCTCACACAGAGACAACGTTTCTCTCGGCTGCATTTTTCTCTTCCTTTAAAGCCACGCTAGAGACGTAAACCACCCGGCAACGCGACCAGAGGAGTCTTTGGGTTCTTCCGTTCTCCTGCCAATGTTGCATTAAATCTCACGTAGACGTTATCTACAACATTGCCGACTCCATATTTATATCGATAATATAAATCCTCCCCTACCTCCTGTCTTTCGAAAGCATAGAGACCCATTCGAGATGCAAAAATTTTCCACTGATTTAGATAACATTTCTTTGACCCAAAGAGAAGAAAAAAATAAATAAACTGTGATTCTGCTTCTTTTTCCTTTATGTTGCCAGGGGGGAAAAACAAAGGCAACAATGACTACAGTCAAAGGAGAAAGTTTGACATCTCTCACTGTGCACAGGTGCAAGAGCCCTGCTTCCTTCTAGAGCATTCTGCCCGATGAACTGGAATCCAGGAATTTAACATCCTCAATTAAAACAGGTGGTCTCACCCTTTTTGTATAAAAAGATCCAAAGTCTGTTTTCATGGGGCTTGAAAGATAACAGCATTAATCAAGAAAATAATAACCAACTTATATTGAAAATGGCTGTGCTTAAGGCAAGTACGTTTAAATTCTGTTCATTTGTAGCATCGGTGAAAGAACGACCCCTTAGGGTCTTACTTAGGCTTATGACTGAACATCGTTCAAGCAGTGAAACTAACTCCAAAAGAAGATGTGAGGCACATATCCTTAGTAAAATAAATGGAGATATGACATCAAGTATAGCATTTTATTTTTCTCTCACATACTTAATTCCTATGTTTTTGGCCTCTTGGTAGACCCGGACATCATGACCCGCAGCAGTGTCTTGAGCAAAAACCGGAAGAACAGAGGTGAAAAGTGTCAGCAGGGTCAATGTGAGCACCCCGGGCTGCAGCAGAAAGCCCGCTGCGTGCAGTCCCCAGGGACCTCGGCTTCCCGCTGAGGCCCATGCCAGCTTAGGACAGTTTGGCTGTGGCAGAGATGACAGAGGGCGCCGGGATCCACAGACTGTTCTAGTTCTCCACGAACAGCAGGGTCACAGCAACTAACATTGCCGAAAGGCCGGAGTAGAGAACAGGAGAAATGGCAACTGCCACAGGGTGACCAAGGACATGTCTGCGAGCAGGATGCCCAATTTTCTCAGAATTTAGAGAATGACTTGCAGGAATCTGAGGAGCGTAAATTCCAATGAAGCAAATATGGGTGAATCAATGCAGATATTTTTGTTACTGAATCTGAACGTCAGTTTGATCATTTGCTAGTCATATAATCTTGGAAATGTTGCTTTCTGGAGTTCGGTTTACTCATCTCTATAATATTAATGATAATGACAGCTATCTGGAAGGATTGTCGAGGAGATTAAGTGAGTACATCTCTATCTCTATCTCTTTGTCCTTATAGCTAAAGCTATAGCTATCTCCTGGTACATCATAAACACTGTATAAATGTTAGTTGTTGCTGTTATTATTAATTATCTAATTTTACCTCCAGAATGCTGTGCCCTGAGGAGTATGAGTTTCATTATCAATAAAAACATTTTATATCATGGCAGGTTAAAACAACAGAAAGTGAACAAAAAAGTTGACAGGCTAGGAATTGCTGTTTGTATTTAAATTCCAAGAAAATAATAAAAATGGATATGCAAGTGCACTAA